ACAAATGTATTCGGAGCTTCAAGTCCAAACCCAGGCGGGACAAAGTGTGCTCCTAGCTGCTGAGAGGGATGCAAGCACTGGCTTGAGTCGTGTGAGATGCTTGTGTCACGTGCAGAAACGCAAGGGTTTCCGAATCATTAATATATTTCGTAACACTCGGTGCTGAGCCCCTTACCTTCCTCTCCCTCCCCTGTGCAGGCTCCTGCTCGCGATTTGATCCTTACCCTCAAGGCCCATGTGCAGAAGCTGGAGGAGGCCGAGGGCAGCCAATGAGTGCCTCCCTGTTGCAGCCAATCATAAGCTTTTAGCCCATGTTAGGAGCTGTCCAGCCTGTAATGCACTAATGAGACGGGGGTCACGTGCCTGTTACAGAAAGTACAGATCAGATGTCATTGAAGTGTACTGTTATGGGTATAAAATAACGACTCCAATATTGTACACCCAACTGAGAAATGGCGAGTTCAGCTTGATATGAGTGCGATGGAGTGATCGAGCGAGGATTGCACTATCGAAGCAACAATACAATGAGCTAAGGCATAAGCGAAGAATATATAGCGAAACTACAGTGGTAAAGGTAATGAACTGTGGGTGACGCGCGACGGGCCTGGAACTGAGGTTGGGAAAATGTCGAGGCGGAGGCCCGGAGCGCGGGTAACCCGCCGAGCCGTGAGGTCGGGGTGCGACGTGCGAAGGTGGCGGGAGGATTGTCGATGCGAGGGTTGCGAGTGGTAACGGTGCTGACTGTGGTGCTACAGTGGTGTACGCGCTGAGCAGGGGCGCGACGCGAAGTAAGGAAAATGAATTTTCCTTACACTACCCCTCCCCCCCCCTTAAGGAGGCCCTCCTTACGAAAGCGCGTGTACATCCCGGAAATTTCGGCTGCGCAGGTACTCTGTAAGGACGGGGTGGTTTTCGATTCTGTCCAGGGGAACCCAGTTGTCTTCGGTGGGTGTACGGTCTCTCCAACGGATCAGGAATTCGATTCTTCGGGCTCCTAGTGGGTCACGAACTCGGTGGCTCAGAATCCGCTCGGGCTTTTTTATTGGCTCAATCGGCGGTCGTGTCATGCTAGCTGGGCGGTTGCGTGGCAGTTGACTTGTGGATGGTATGTAGGGGCGAAGCAGACTGACGTGGAAGGACGGGCTGACGTACCAGTCAGCGGGGAGGAGGAGGTTGGCGGTGACGGGTGTAAGCATGTGGCTGATGCGGAATGGTCTGCAGTACCGCGGGCGAAGTTTTGGGGTAATGGGCAGGCGGTGTCAAGTAAAACTAGGTTGTCGGGCTGGTAAGTGACAGGTCGGCGGTGGCGGTCGGCGTTGCGTTTAGCGATGATGTTCGATTTTTTAATTACGTCTGCTGCCCGGGTCCGTGCTGCTTGTAAAATTTCGGCGAACTGTTGCGCTCGTGGCACCGGGTTGTCGGGATTCGGGGTCATGGGTACTGTCGGGTCTTGTCCGTAGTTCAAGTAAAACGGTGACTGTTGGGTCGTGGCGGAAGGTGAGTTGTTGTACGCGAACTCGATGAGTGGCAGCTGCTGTTCCCAGGTGGTTGGGTCAACGCACGTGGCTCGGATGAGTTGCTCCATGGTTTGATTTGTCCTTTCTGTCTGTCCGTCGGTCTCGGGGTGGTACGAAGAACTGAACTGTAGTCGCGTGCCGAACTGCTGCCACAGGTTCCGCCAGAAGTTGCTGGTGAATTTCGTGTCTCGATCGCTGATGATCGCTGCTGGTATCCCGTGCAGTCGGACGATGGTGGAGATGAAGAGGCGGGTTGTTTCTTCGGTTGTGATTGATTTTTTGCAGGCTGCGAAGTGTGTCATTTTCGTCAGTCGATCGACGACGACCAGGGTCGCGTCGTTCCCACTCGCTCCGGCCAGTAACCCCGTGACGAAGTCCATCGTCACCTGCTGCCAAGCACGCTCTGGGGGTGGTATCGGCTGCAACTGTCCTGCCGGCCGCTTCCGTGATGACTTCATGATCTGGCAAGTGGGACACGATGCCACGTGTCGTTGAACGTCGGTCAACATTTCGGGCCAGTAATAATACCGTTGCAGCTGCTGCCGTGTTTTTTCTACCCCGAAATGTCCCGAGGTAACTCCGTCGTGTGCCTCCTATAACAGTAATTCCCGTAGCAGTGTGTACCCTGTTACCCAGAAGCGGTCGGTCCCGGCTTTTACGTAATAGACTCCCTTTGCTGCTGCGAACTGCTGCGAATTTCCTCGTGTGAAGAATGGATCCGTTTGGTACCCGTGGGTAAATAGGCTTGTCAGTAGGGGGCTGGTCTGGGCGAGTAGTATTGCATGGATCTGGGCGGTGGGGCGGGTCAATGCGTCGACGATGTTCGATGCCCCCTTTTTGTAGGTGACTGTGTAGTGGAAGTTTAACTCAAGGAAATCGAGCCAGCGAATCTGTCGTGGGTTGAGGTGGGGCTGTGCGCGGAGGTACTGTGGTGATTTATGGTCTGTTCGTACTGTCACGTCTGCGCCAGTCAAGTAACAGCGCCACACTTTGAACGCGTGCACGATCGCGAACATTTCACGGTCGTGTATCGGGTAATTTTTGTCAGAATGTGATGTTTGTCTAGCCTGCTGTGGGGTACTCTATAGCGAGTACAGCCCGAATTAGGGTTTGCTATATGTACTCAACTGCCTGCTAGTGAAAACCCCTCTTTCCTGTTTCTCGTTTTCGCCTGCTGTTTCGACATGCTATCAGAGCAGGTCGACCCTCTTGGGTCGATCCTGTGGGTGGTCCCATCCGATGCTTCCGCTGCTGTCCTGCCTATCGCACGCCCTGGGCGTGCGAAGTTTCCTGCCTGCCGCGCGCTCAGGGCGCGCGGCGTTTTTTCTTCCCACCGCGCGCTCGGGGCGCGCGGCAGTTTCCTGCCCCGTCGACCAGCGCATCGCCCCCCGTCGCCCGTCGCGGAGCCCCCGGGGACCCGCGCGTCGCCCCCCGTCGCCCGACGCGGCCCGCACGACCTGCGCCAGGCCCGCGCGCGGCCCGTACGGCCTGCGCCAGGCCCGCGTGCGGCCCGGGCAGCCCGCGCGCGGTTCGTTCCGCCTGCGCCAGGCCCGTGCGCGGCCCGTACGGTCTGCCCCAGTGCTGCACGCCGTCCCCCGAGCTTATGACCGCGCCCCACCCCCGTTGCTGCCCGTGCTCCTGTGTTAGGGTTTGGGGGTGGAGAGTATGGGGGTGCTGGGTGTGTGAGCCGTCCCCTGCTCCTCCTCCTCCTCCGTCTCCCACTGCTGCAGCTGCCGCTGAGGGGGGTGGATGTGTTGGAGCCGTCGGAGTGGTACGAGTGGGGTGGCGTATGAGCGGTGCTAGAGGTTCAACAAGGGGTGTGTGAAAGGGGTGTGGGACAGTTGGGGGAGGTTGACCGGAGGTTGCCGTTGTGACGTCTGCAGCGCCAGTAGTCCGGGGGTTGAGAACTCCGCTAGCCCAGCGAGCCTGCTGCTGCCAGTCGCCCGTGGGTCTGTTGATCCTGCTGCTGCTTAGCGCGGAGCCAGTTACTCCTGTAGTCCGGAGGTTGAGTGTGTCAGAGGTCCACTGGTGATCCCCGATCGATCCTAGGGAAGGGTTACAGGCTCGTTGTCTTGGGGGGTTATGGGCGCACTGACCCGCTACTTAACAAGCCCTTTTATCCCAGTGGTTAGTGGCTGGATTCTGACATGGTATCAGAGCGAAGGTCTCGGGTTCGAATCCCAGTGTGTGCACTTCGGGCACCCCAGTGCGGGGGGGTGTCAGAGGTCCACTGGTGATCCCCGATCGATCCTAGGGAAGGGTTACAGGCTCGTTGTCCTGGGGGGTTATGGGCGCACTGACCCGCTACTTAACAAGCCCTTTTATCCCAGTGGTTAGTGGCTGGATTCTGACAGAGTGCTCCGGTAGCCACCGTGCGCGCCGTTCCTGTTGCGCGTGTGTCTGCGGCTTCACCCGTCGCCTTCTATCTTCACTCCTCTCACAGTCTCTCCTCCTCACTTGCCCTCTGTGACTGCCTCTAGCTTTGCTTATCATTGTGAACTATTGCTCTGTGACTGCTTGCTGTGCTGATTATACCCCACTTTGACTATGAGAGTGTGTCAGAATGTGATGTTTGTCTAGCCTGCAGTGGGGTACTCTATAGCGAGTACAGCCCGAATTAGGGTTTGCCATATGTACTCAATTGCCTGCTAGTGAAAACCCCTCTTTCCTGTTTCTCGTTTTCGCCTGCTGTTTCGACATTTTTTCTCGGGCGGATGCAGTTTTCGTGACTCGTATGCGATGGGCTGTAGGTGTCAAACATTATATATGTTTGTGTTGTGTAGGCTACAGTGGGTTCGCCTTTAGGGGGTACATTTCACTAGGGTTTCCTACTTGTACTCCAACAACTTTCTAGTTCATCACTTCTTGATTCTGACATGGTATTAAGAGCTTAGGTTCTAGACCTAAGGGCCCACCGTTCCGCTAGAGTTGCCCTCGTGCGCCCCCTTTTTTTTTAGCGCCCTCGTGCGCCTCTCCCCTAGTGCGCCCTCGTGCGCTCTCCTCTCACGCTGCCCGTGTGCAGCCCGCTAGCAGCCCGAGCGCGGCCCCGCCGTTTTAGCGCGCGTAGGAAATTCGCCGCCTAGGGCGGCCCGATTTTTTCTCGCGAGCCCCAGCAGGCCGTTGCCCGTAGGCCCCGCTCGCCCCTAGGCCGCGCGCGACCCACAGCCGCCCGCCCGCAGGTCGCAGCCAGCGCGCCGCGGCGATCGCGCGTCGGCTGCTGCAGCTAGTGCTTAGCCGCCGCTCGAACGCAGCCGCGGCCCGCGCGCAGCCGCACCCTAGGCGCCGCCGCGCACCAAGCATAGGCCCGCTGTCGCGCCGCCATACCTACCCGAGCCGCGCCGCCCGAGTCGCGCCGCCCGAGTCGCGCCGCCCTGACCGAGCCGCGCCGCCCTACCTGCAGCAACTGCTCTTCCTGCTCCTACTGCGACTACTGCTGCTACTGCTACTACTGCTACTGCTACTGCTACTACTGCTACTGCCACTATGGCCAGTCCCACTGTTCTCACCTTTGACGCCGAGGGCCGCCCGATTAAGTTCGATATCTGGCTTGATGACCTTCACCTGTACCTCCAGATCACTGCCAAGGACGATGTTTCCCTCTATGACCACACGTCCGGCGCTGCTCCCGCACCTGCTGCTACTGCTGACAGTACTGCTCGCTCACAGTGGCAGACTCGTGACGCCCATGCTCGCCTAGCCGTTCGCAGCCACTTGCCGTTAGATGAGCGCGAGCACTTCAGCCAGCATAAGACCGCTAAGGAGCTGTATGACGCTGTAGTTGCCCGCTACTCCTCCCCTGCCACTGCTGCGATAGGCCGTCTCTCACTGCCCTACCTCTTCCCCGATCTGTCTGCCTTTGCCACTGTAGCTGACCTCATCACTCACCTCCGTACTAGTGATCTCCGCTACCGTGCCGCACTCCCCCCCGATTTCCTAGCCAAGACCCCCCCCCCCCGATGTACCTCACCCTCTACCACCTGGTCACTCGCCTCCCTGACTCTCTTCGCGCTGTCAGGGACAACTTTCTCGCTCTCTCCCCCACAGACCTCACTGTCGACCTGCTCGAGAAGGAACTCCTCGCAGCTGAGAAGAGCATTGTAGCTGTAGGTGCCTCTCGTGGCGACCCTCGCACTCCCTTCTTTGAGGGATGTTCCCCCTCCCCCCTTCTCCCCTCCATTGCATCTGCTGCTGCTGTCGACTACCTTGGTGCTGAGGGGGTCGGAGCTGCGTTCGCTCCCAGTGGGAGGCGCAGGGGCGGCAGGGGCAAGGGGGGCCGGGGTGGAGGAGGCGGCGGCGGGGGAGGTGGTGGTGGAGGGGGTGGAGGGGGCGGCGGCGGTGGCGGCAGTGGTGGGAGTGGTGCTGGTGGTGGGGGGGGCAATGGCGGAGCCGGGGGTGCTGGAGGCGGCGGTGGTGGAGGTGGAGGTGGTGGTGGTGGCAGTGGTGGCGGCGGTGGAGCTGGTGGAGGGCGCGGTGGAGCGGTGCAGCGTGGCGGGTTCGGCGGCGGCCAGAGGCAGCAGCAGCAGCGTCCCAGCGAGCCCCCGTTGCCCCTGCAGCTCCGTGAGTGGTACTCTCAGCGTGGGGGGTCTGGGGGTGGAGGTACCTGCCCGTACGTCATCCGCGCAGGTGACCGCACTGGCCAGACTTGTGGGAAGTTTCACACGGCGCAGCGCTGTTTCTTTCGCCTCGACGACGCCTGGCGCGAGCAGTTCCCTGACGCCTCTGAGCTGCCCCGCTGGGCTGATCTACTTAGGAAGGGAATTGATATCTTTGCTCTTGATTTTGATGCTATCCTTGCTACTATGTATGCATTGACTATTAGTGTTGAGGGTGACTGTTACCTGAGTGTACCGCCCGACCCGGGTATTGGGACCAGTGAGGCTGCAGCTCTAGGTGCTAGCGCGTCTGCTGCTCTAGGTCCTGGTGAGGCTGCTGCCCTAGGTCTACGTCTGCTGGTACCGCACCTACTGTGGCACTGCACACCTTCACACTGGACTCAGGTGCTTCCCGCTGTTTCTTCCGCGACCGCACTGCCCTAGAGCAGCTTCCTAGACCGGTTGCTGTCTCCCTGGCTGACCCCTCAGGGGGTCCGGTCCTTGCGACCTCCACCACTGCCCTCCCTTGTCCTGCTGTCCCGTCTGGCACGCTGTCGGGCCTCTACCTCCCCTCGTTCTCTACGAACTTGGTGGCGGGTTCCGCGCTCCAGGACGCGGGTGTTTACCAGTTCACCCCGGCCTACGAGCGTGTGACGCACTGCACGTGTGCGCGGACGGGTCGTCACCTGGCTACCTTCACTCGGCAGCCGGGGTCGGACTTGTACACACTGACCGCTGAGTCCCCTCAGGTAGCTGCGTCTGCGTCTGCGTCTGCGTCAGGTCAGCTGTCGGCCCCCTGCTCGTGTCGCTCCCTGTCACACAGGACTGTCCTCTGGCACCACCGCCTTGGTCACCCGTCAGTGCAGCGCCTTCGCGGCATGCACTCCAGGTAACTTGTCTCGGGTCTTCCCAGAGTTCTCCCTCCCCTGCCACCCTCGCCTGCTCCTCCATGTCTTCCCTGTGTCGAGGGACGGCAGCGCGCCGCTCCTCACTCTTCCTCGTTCCCTCCCACAGAGGCGCCCCTGCAGACTCTCCACCTTGACGTGTGGGGCCCCGCCCGCGTCCGGGGACAGGGCCACGAGCGGTACTTTCTGCTGGTCGTCGACGACTACACGCGCTACACCACGGTCTTCCCCTTGCATACCAAGGGTGAGGTCCCTGATGTTTTGATCCCTTGGATCCGCGCTGCTCGTCTCCAGCTCCGCGAGCGGTTCCAGTCGGACTTTCCTGTCCTACGTCTGCACTCTGACAGAGGTGGCGAGTTTTCCTCTGACCTCTTGGCAGCCTACTGTGCGGAGCACGGCATCCGCCAGACGTTCACTCTCCCGGCCTCTCCGTAGCTGATTGGGGTTGCTGAGCGCCGCATTGGTCTTGTCATGGAGGTCGCTCGTACCTCCATGATCCATGCGGCTGCCCCCCATTTCCTGTGGCCGTTTGCAGTGCAGTACGCCGCGCATCAGCTCAACCTCTGGCCCCGTGTCTCTGTTCCGGAGACCTCGCCTACCCTGCGTTGGACGGGGGAGGTTGGCGATGCGTCGGTGTTCCGAGTCTGGGGATGTCTAGCCTTTGTCCGCGATACGTCCGCGGACAAGCTCTCCTCCCGTGCCGTTCCCTGTGTCTTCCTTGGCTTTGTCTCTGACGCGCCTGGCTGGGAGTTTTACCACCCCACCTCGCGCCGTGTCTTCGCCTCTCAGGACGTCACCTTTGACGAGTCGGTACCCTTTTACCGTCTCTTCCCCTACCGCACTGCCCCGCTCCCCCCCCCGCCGCTCTTCCTCACCCCAGGTGTCCCGTCGGTAGACCCCCTCCCTCCCCAGGGTGCTGCTCCCTCAGGTGTTTCCCAAGTAGACCCGGTCGAGCCTGTCGAGGTAGCTGTTGACTCTGGTCCTGCGCGAGGTGCTGAGCATACTGAGACTGGTGGTGCTGAGCCTGGGGGTGCGGAGACTGCGGGTGCTGAGTCTGGGGGTGCGGAGACTGCGGGTGCTGAGCCTGGGGGTGCTGCGACTGGGGGTGCTGAGCCTAGAGGAGCTGAGGCTGGAGGCTCTGAGACTGACCGTACTACGCCTGTTGGCGCTCCCTCTTCACAGCAGCTGCGTGAGTGGTACTCCCAGCGTTACAGCCTCCGTAGTGGGGCTACTGGAGCTGGGGGGTCTGCTGGAGTTGGGGCTGGTGGCCCTGCGGGTGCAGTGTCGCGGCCGGAGCCTCCCTCCCCTCAGCGGCTGCGTGAGTGGTACGCTCGGCGCTGCAGACTCCGGAGTGGAGCTCCTGGTGTTGAGGTACCGCCCGCTGGAGGCCCTACTGGTGCTGGAGGTTCTGGAGCTGCTGGAGGTGCTGCTTGTTCTGGAGCTGCTGGAGGTGCTGCTGGTGCTGCTGGAGGTTCTGGAGCTGCTGGAGGTGCTGCTGGTTCTGGAGCTGCTGGAGGTGCTGCTGGTGCTGCTGGAGGTTCTGGAGCTGCTGGAGGTGCTGCTGGTGCTGCTGGAGGTTCTGGAGCTGCTAGAGGTGCTGCTGGTGCTGCTGGAGGTTCTGGTGCTGTCTCTGCTGCTTCTGGGGGCACTTCACGGCCGCAGCCGTACTTCGTTCCGCTCCTTCAGCAGGTTCTTGGTCAGCTGCCTCCTCCTAGTCCTCCTCCCTCCTTAGAGTGTCCTCCGCCTGTCCAGTCGCAGTCACAGCTACCGCCTGCCTCGCCACTTCCTGGTCCTTCTCCCTACACTGGTCCGACAGGCGGTCTTACAGAGCGTCGTGAGCCTGAGTCTCGTCCTGTATCGCCTGTGTCTCGTCCTGTGTCACCTGTTCGTGCTGCTCGCACTGGTCGCCGTGGTCCGCGTGAGCGTCCTCCACCTGTCCCTGGCACACACTATATGACTCTGCGTCCTTCCACTGCTCCACAGCGTGTCCCTCTGCCGTCTCCTCCTGCGTCCTCTCTTCCTGTTCTTGCTGACCCGGAGTCTGACTCTCTTCGTGCTGCCAGTCCTACTGTCACGCGTCTCCTGGCCACGGCTGTCACTGACCCTTCCTTTGAGTCTGCTGCTGCGTCTGCCCTAGTTGCTGAGCTTGTCGACTTTGCTGCTCGCTGTCGTCTAGACTACGCTGCGAGTCTTGTTGCTGAGTCTGAGTCTGTCTGTCCTCCGTCCGTCGGGGGTGAGTGTGCTCTAGGCACGGACGTCCTTGAGGACAGACAGGAGGACCTTGAGTGTCTTGCAGCCACTGCGCCTCATCTCGTGTCCATGCTGATTGCCCCTGAGGGAGACCCGAATGCTCCAGACATTCCGACCCCGCGCTCTTACGCTGAGGCGATCGCGGGTGAGTACTCCTCTCAGTGGCAGACAGCCATGGACGCAGAGATGGCATCCTGGAAGTCCACTGGCACTTACGTCGACGAGGTTCCCCCTCCTGGGGCGAACATCGTCAGTGGCATGTGGATTTTCAGGGTGAAGTGGCCGCCGGGTTCTCCGCCTGTCTTCAAGGCTCGTTACGTTGCTCGAGGCTTCAGTCAGCGAGAGGGAGTAGACTTCTTTCAGACCTTCTCCCCCACCCCGAAGATGACCACTCTTCGGGTGCTACTGCACGTTGCTGCTCAGCGTGACTACGAGCTTCACTCTCTTGACTTCAGCACAGCTTTCTTGCAGGGCAGCCTGCACGAGGAGATCTGGCTGCGCCGCCCTCCTGGCTTCACTGGGTCGTTTCCTCCTGGTACCCAGTGGAGCCTCCGGCGGCCGGTCTACGGTCTCCGTCAGGCGCCACGTGAGTGGCACGACACACTGAGGACTACTCTTGCGGCACTTGGGTTCGCGCCTTCTACTGCTGACCCGTCGCTGTTTCTGCGCACCGACACTTCGCTGCCGCCGTTCTACATCCTCGTGTACGTCGACGACTTGGTCTTTGCCACCGCTGACACTGAGGCTCTCGCCCACGTGAAGTCGGAGCTGCAGAAGAGACGCACGTGCACAGACCTGGGTGAACTGCGCAGCTACCTTGGCTTGCAGATCACCCGGGACAGAGCACGCCGCACCATCACACTGACTCAGTCACACATGGCGCAGCAGGTCCTTCAGCGCTTCGGCTTCACCTGGTCCTCAGCACTGGCCACTCCTCTGGCTATAGGTCACTCGCTCTCAGCTCTGCCTTCGGATGAGTCCGTAGAGCCGAGTGGTCCTTACCCAGAGCTAGTTGGTTGCCTCATGTACCTGATGACTTGCACTCGTCCTGACCTAGCATACCCTCTTGGCCTTCTGGCCCGCTATGTGGCTCCTGGCAGGCACCGAAAGGTGCACTGGGATGCTGCAAAGAGGGTATTGCGCTACTTGTGCAGTACATCGGGCATGGGGCTCGTGCTTGGAGGAGGGAGCCCAGTTGTTCTCACTGGGCACTCAGACGCTTCTTGGGTTGACGACCAGGCTAATCAGCGGTCGTCACAGGGTTACACCTTCAGCCTTGGCTCTGGCTCAGTTTCTTGGCGTTCTACACGCTCGTCTTCAGTTCTCAGCTCCAGTTGTGAGGCTGAGATCTACGCCACAGCCATGGCTGCACAGGAGTTACGCTGGCTCACCTACCTGCTGACCGACCTGGGAGAGCGGCCTCGTTCTCCTCTAGTGCTGTACGTCGACAACAAGGCTGCCATTGCCTTGTGTGAGGAGCACAGACTGGAGCACAGGACGAAGCACATCGCTCTACGTTACTTTCTGGCTCGAGAGTTGCAGCAGCGTGGTCAGCTTCGTCTGCGTTACGTGACCTCTCAGGCCAACACTGCTGATATATTCACCAAGGCACTTCATTCTGGTGATCATCAGCGTTTCTGCACTTTGCTAGGGCTTGTGCCCACTTTTCCTCACTTGTTGTAGACTTTGCCTGTACTGCGATCTATATATCTATACCTGCATGCTTGCTAGACATAGATCACTGTGATGTTTGTGCTACATATATGCCTCTGCATGTGAACTGGCCTTGTGGTCCTTTGCTTGTGCTCAGGGTGTGTGGTGACGTTGTGATCCACCCTGAGCTTGCCTTGGTTTTCTTGACTGGTCCTGTGACCCCTTGTTCTCCCCCACTTAGCCTATGGGGGTGTGTCAAACATTATATATGTTTCTGTTGTGTAGGCTACAGTGGGTTAGCCTTTAGGGTGTCAAACTTATATGATCTAGCCTGTGTAGGCTGTAGCGGGTTAGATACTAAGGGGTACACAATTCTAGGGTTTCATATTTGTATCACTTTCATTCCTTAGTCATTCCATTCTCGTTCTAAGTTTCTCATGGTATCGAGCAGGTTCCCTCGTGGGAACTGTTCCTAGGGCCCACCAAGTTTTTTTTTTCCTACCCGGGGCGCGTGCCGCCCCTGCCCGAAGCGCGCCTAGTGTCCCGCCCTTAGCGACCCGTCGCGCCCTCCTTAGCGGCCCCTCAGGCCCCGTCACTGCCCTCTCTAGGCCCCACGTGGCCCCTTAGCGGCCCCGTCGCCGCCCCTTACGGCCCCAGGACCGCCTCTTACGGCCCCGCGACCGCCCCTTACGGCCACGTCGCCGCCCCTCACGGCCCCGCGTCCGCCCCTCACGGCCCCGCGACCGCCCCTTACGGCCCCGTCGCCGCACCTCAGGGCCCCGCGACCGCCCCTTCCGGCCCCGTCGCCGCCCCTTAAGGCCCCGTCGCCGCCCCCTTACGGCCCCGTCGCCGCCCCTTACGGCCCCGTCGCCGCCCCTTTCGGCCCCGTCGCCGCCGAGCCGCGACCCCGTAGCCGCCCTTAGCGGCCCCGTCGCCGTTCCCCCTCCCCTCGGCCTCGTCGCCGCCCCTCCGCGGCCCCGTCGCCGCCCTTCAGCGGCCCCACTGCCGCCCTTCCGCGGCCACGTCGCCGCCCTTTCGCGGCCTCGTCGCCGCCCTTCAGCGGCCCCGTCGCCGCCCCTCAACGGCCTCGTCGCCGCCCTTCAGCGGCCTCGTTGCCGCCCCTTGCGGCCCCGTCGCCGCCCTTCGCGGCCCTGCCGCCCTTCCTCGGCCCCTCAGCCGCCCTTCCCGGCCCCGTCGGCAGCCGAGCCGCCGTCACCACCGAGCCGCCGAGCCGCCGAGCCGCCCTTGCCGCCGTGCCGCCGAGCTGCCGAGCCACCGAGCCGCCGAGCTGCCGAGACGCCGAGCTGCCGAGCCGCCGAGCCGCCGAGCCGCCCTGCAGCCGAGCCGCCGAGCCGCCGAGCCGCCACGCCACCGCAGCCGAGACGCCGCAGTTCCTGCAGTCGCGGCCCTGTCCCTGCTGGCCTGCCTCGGCCCGCCCCACCTGCCTGGTAAGAGCAGCGCCTCTGCCACTGCATTGCCATACCCCGCTGCTCTCTCTGCCAGTCTACTGCTGTCATGGCCACCCCCAGTGTTCTCACCTTTGACGCTGAGGGCCGGGCTGTTGACTTTGAGGTCTGGGTAGATGATCTGCAGCTTTTCCTACAGTGCGATAGGGCAGACGGTCTCTCTCTGTTTGACCTCACCTCTGGTGCCTCTCCTGCCCCTGCTGCTGATACTGATGCCACTGTTCGCTCACAGTGGGCCACGCGCGATGCTGCTGCTCGCCTTGCTGTGCGCCGCCACTTACCGACCGCTGAGTGCGCGCATTTTAGTCAGTACAAGAGTGCTAAGACCTTGTACGACGCTGTCGTTGCACGCTACTCTTCCCCTGCCACTGCTGCCCTTAGCCGCCTCATACTGCCGTACCTCTTCCCTGACCTCGTCGCTTTTCCCACAGTCGCTGACCTCATTACGCACCTTCGCACTAGTGACATTCGCTACCGCGCTGCGCTTCCTGCTGAGTTCTGCGCCAAGAACCCCCCCCCTATGTACATCACCCTCTACTACATAGTCACCCGGCTCCCTGACACCCTTCGCTCGGTCAGGGACCACTTCCTCTCTGTTTGCCCCACCACCCTCACCGTTGACCTCCTCGAGGAGCGCCTCCTAGCAGCAGAAAAGAGTATAGTCGCTGTAGGAGCCTCTCGTGGTGACCCTCGTACCCCTGTCTTTGAGGGGTGCTCCCCCTCCCCCCTCTTGCCCTCTGTTGCCTCTGCTGCTGCGGCCGACCTCGTTGGTCTTGAGTCGGTCGGCGCGGCGTCTGCCCCTAGCGGGAGACGCCGCCCAGGCAAGGGCAAGGGGGGCAAGGGCGCTGGAGGGGCTGGCGGGGGCGGTGGAGGCGGCGGTGGAGGCGGTGGAGGGGGTGGGGGTGGCGGTGGGGGTGGTGGCGGGAGTGGGGGCGCTAGTGGCGGCAGTGGAGGCGGAGGAGGCGGCGGTGGTGGCGGTGCGAGCGGAGGTGGTGGAGGTAGCGGCGGCGGAGGTGGAGCTGGTCGGGGCGGCTCTTCGCAGAGGGTCGGCTCCGGTGGTGGTCAGCGCTAGCAGCAGCAGCAGCAGCGCACTCGTGAGACCCCTTCCCCCCAGCAGCTTCGTGAGTGGTACACTGCTCGTCAGCGGGGTGGGGGTGCTGGCCCCTGTACCTACGTTCTACGTACAGGCGACCGCGCGGGTGAGCAGTGTGGGGGTCCGCACTCCACCCAGCGCTGCTTCGGCCGCCTGACGGACGCTTGGCGTCATCAGTTCCCCGACGCTACTGAGATCCCTCGCTGGGGCGAGCTGTTTAGGGCGGGTGTTGCGATCTTTGATCTTGATTATGATGCTATTCTTGCTGCAATGTATGCTGTGACTATTAGTGATGAGGGTGACTGTTACCGGTGTTTTCCGCCTGACCCGGGCATTGAGACTGCTGCTCTAGGTGCTGGTGAGGCTGCTGCTCTAGGTGCTAGTGCGTCTACTGCTCCAGGTGCTGGTGAGTCTGCTGCCCCAGGTGCTGGTGAGTCTGCGCTCTCAGGTACCGCGTCGGCTCCGGCCACCCACACCTTCACCCTTGACTCGGGTGCTTCCCGCTCCTTCTTTCGAGACCGCACCACGCTTACGCCGCTTAGTCGGCCAGTGGCAGTCTCCCTGACAGACCCCTCTGGGGGTCCTGTCCTTGCCCACATCTCCACTGTTCTACCGTGTCCGGCGGCCCCTTCTGGCACCTTGTCGGGTCTTTACCTCCCCTCGTTCTCTACGAACTTGGTGAGTGGTGCTGACCTCCAGGATGGAGGGGTTCACCAGTTCACTCCTGCGAGTCAGCGAGTGACCCACTGTACCTGTGCTCGGACGAGCCGTCACTTGGCCACGTTTACCCGTCAGCCGGGGTCGAGCCTGTACACACTGACTACTGAGTCTCCTCCAGTCGCTGAGTTTGCTCAGGTAGCCGCGTCGGGTCAGGTGTGTGCTGTGGCGTCCAGGTCTGGTCCTGAGTCTGCCCCCTGCTCGTGTCGTCTCCTGTCTCACCAGACTCTCCTCTGGCACCACCGCCTTGGTCACCCCTCCCTGCCTCGTCTTCGAGGCATGGCCTCCCGTGTCCTTGACTCTGGTCTCCCCCGGTCCCTCCCTCCCCTTCCTCCGGGGCCTGCCCCCACCTGCGTTCCCTGCGCCGAGGGACGGCAGCGCGCTACTCCTCACTCCTCCGAGTTTCCTCCGACAGAGGCTCCGCTGCAGACGCTTCACATGGACGTGTGGGGCCCAGCACGAGTCCGTGGACAGGGTCACGAGCGTTACTTCCTGCTGGTGGTTGACGACTACTCGCGTTACACCGCAGTCTTCCCCGTGCACAGCAAGGGTGAGGTCACTGAGGTGTTGATCGCCTGGATCCGTGCAGCTCGTCTCCAGCTCAGAGAGAGTTTCGGCTCGGACTTTCCTGTTCTGCGTCTGCACTCTGACAGAGGCGGAGAGTTCTCCTCTGACCTTCAGCGAGCCTTCTGTCGTGCACGAGGCATCCGCCAGACCTTCACGCTTCCGGACTCTCCGCAGCAAAATGGGATTGCTGAGCGCCGCATTGGCATGGTCATGGACGTCGCTCGTACGTCCATGGTCCATGCGGCTGCCCCCCATTTTCTGTGGCCGTTTGCGGTTCGGTACGCGGCGCATCAGATCAACCTTCAGCCCCGGGTCTCCATGCCGGAGACCTCCCCTGCTTTGCTGTGGACAGGGAAGGTTGGCGATGCGTCTGCGTTCCGTGTCTGGGGATCTCGGGCGTTTGTCCGCGACTTGTCTGCGGACAAGCTGTCCCCTCGTGCTGTTCCCTGCGTCTTCCTTGGCTTCCCCCCTGACGCGCCGGGCTGGCACTTCTACCACCCCACCTCGCGCCGTGTTCTCTCCTCCCAGGACGTCACGTTTGACGAGTCGGTTCCCTACTACCGTCTCTTCCCCTACCGCACTGCGTCCCTCCCCCCCCCCGCCGCTCTTCCTTACGCCAGGTCCCCCTCCGGTAGACCCCCTCCCCCCTCAGGGTCCTGCCCCCTCAGGTGTGTCTCAGGTAGACGCAGTCGACCCTGTCGAGGTAGCTGTTGACTCTGGTGCTACTAGGGGTGCTGAGCCTGCGGGTTATGGGTCTGGGGGTGCTGACTCTGGGGGTGCTGAGCCTGGGGGTGCTGACTCTGGGGGTGCTGCGCCTGGGGGTGCTGAGCCTGGGGGTGCTACGCCTGGGGGTACTGCGCCTGGGGGTGCTGAGCCTGAGGGTGCTGCGTCTGGGGGTGCGGAGTCTGAGGGTACTGGACCTGCTCGTGTGGCGTCTGGCGGTACTGGGCCTGGAGGTTCTTCGGGTACTTCGTCCCGGCGGGAGATACTCTCTCCACAGGAGCTGCGTGAGTGGTTTGCCCGGCGCTGGAGGTGAGCTGCTGGAGCTGGAGGTGCTGCGGGTGCTGGGGGTTCTGCTGCTGCTAAGGGTGCTGGTGCCGCGGGTCCCGGAGGTGCTCGTACTGGGAATACTGGAGCTGCTGGGCCTGCGGGTGCTTCTCGTACTAGAGCTGGTGGTGCTGCGGACGTCGGTGCTACCGAGGGTGCTGGAGCTGGACCCGCTGCGTCTTCTGGTGGTCCGGCTGGAGCTGGAGCTGCTGGGGGTGTTGGCGCTGAGGGTGCCTCTCGTGCTGGTGCCTCTGAGGGTACTGGAGTTGGCGCTGCTGGAGCTGGGGGTGCTGCTGGCGCTGGTGCTGTCGTTCGGGGTGCTGGTGCTGTCCCTTCTGGTGCTGGTGGTGCTGAGCGGCCGCGGCCGTACTTCGTTCCGCTCCTTGAGCAGGTTCTTGGTCTTCCGCCCTCTGCTAGTCCGGATCCTCCCTTCGAGTGTCCACCGCCTGTCCAGTCCGAGTCATAGTTACAGCCTACCTCTCCTCTGCCTGCTCCTTCGCCCTACACTGGTCCTACTGGAGGTCTTGCTGAGCGTCGTGAGCCTGCGTCTCGTCCTGCGTCGCCTGTCCGTGCTGCTCGCACTAGTAGTCGTGGTTCGCGTCAGCGTCCTCCCCCTGTCCCCGGCACGCACCGGATGTCTCTGCGTCCCTCCACTGCTCCGTTGCGTGCCCCTTTGCCTTCTCCTCCTGAGTCCTCTCTTCCTGTTCTTGCTGACCCGGAGTCGGACTCCCTTCGTGCTGCCAGTCCTACTGTCACGCGTCTCCTTGCTACTGTCGTCACTGACCCTTCCTTTGAGTCCGCTGCTGCGTCAACCTTAGTTTCTGAGCTTGTCGACTTCACTACTCGCTGTCGCCTAGACTACGCTACTAGTCTTGTCGCTGAGTCTGAGTCTGTCTGTCCTCCGTCCGTCGGGGGTGAGTGTGCCCTTGGCACGGACATCCTTGAGGACAGGCAGGAGGAGTTCCAGTGCTTTGCTGCTGCTTCACCTCATCTCGTGTCCATGCTGCTTGCCCCTGAGGGAGACCCGGATGCACCAGACATCCCGACTCCGCGCTCTTACGCGGAGGCGATAGAGGGTCCCTACTCCTCTCAGCGGCAGGCAGCCATGGATGCAGAGATGGCTTCCTGGAAGTCCACAGGCACCTACGTCGACGAGGTTCCCCCTCCTGGGGCGAACATCGTCAGTGGCATGTGGATTTTCAGGGTGAAGCGGCCGCCGGGTTCTCCGCCTATCTTCAAGGCACGCTACGTGGCTCGTGGCTTCAGTCAGCGGCAGGGAGTTGACTACTTTCAGACCTTCTCTCCCACCCCGAAGATGACCACTCTTCGGGTACTGCTGCACATAGCCGCTCACCGGGACTACGAGCTTCACTCTCTTGACTTCAGCACTGCTTTCTTGCAGGGCAGCCTGCACGAGGAGATCTGGCTGCGCCGCCCACCTGGCTTCACTGGGTCTTTTCCTCCTGGTACCCAGTGGAGCCTCCGGCGGCCAGTCTACGGTCTCCGCCAGGCACCTCGTGAGTGGCACGACACACTGAGGACTACACTTGCGGCTCTTGGGTTTGCTCCTTCTACTGCCGACCCGTCGCTGTTTCTGCGCACCGACACTTCTTTGCCGCCGTTCTACATCCTCGTGTACGTCGACGACTTGGTCTTTGCCACAACTGACAATGCTGGATTCGCCCACGTGAAGTCCGAGCTGCAGAAGAGACACACGTGCACAGACCTGGGTGAACTGCGTAGCTACCTTGGCTTGCAGATCACCCGGGACAGAGCACAGCACACCATTACCCTGACTCAGTCACACATGGTGCAGCAGGTCCTTCAGCGCTTCGACTTCACGTACTCCTCGCCTCAGGCCACTCCTCTGTCTACTCGCCACTCGCTCTCAGCTCTGCCTTCGGATGAGTCCGTAGAGTCGAGTGGCCCGTACCCAGAGCTTGTTGGCTGCCTCATGTACCTGATGACCTGCACTCGACCTGACCTTGCATACCCTCTTAGCATTCTGGCACGCTATGTTGCTCCTGGGAGACACAGACCAGAGCACATGGCTGCAGCAAAGAGGGTGTTGCGCTACTTGTGCAGTACGTCGGGCATGGGGCTTGTGCTTGGAGGGCGGAGTCCAGTGGTCCTCACTGGTCACGCAGACGCTTCTTGGGCTGACGACCAGGCTACGCAGCGGTCGTCACAGGGTTACACCTTCAGCCTTGGTTCCGACTCTGTTTCGTGGCGGTCTACCCGCTCGTCTTCTGTTCTCGGCTCTAGTTGTGAGGCTGAGATCTACGCAGGGGCCATGGCTGCACAGGAGCTACGCTGGCTCACCTACCTGCTGACTGACCTAGGAGAGCCGCCTCGTTCTCCTCCAGTTCTGTACGTAGACAACAAGGGCTATGCTGGCCTTGTGTCGGGAGCACAGACTGGAGCACAGAACGAAGCACATCGCTCTTCGCTACTTCCTTTCTAGTTCATCACTTCTTGATTCTGACAGTAGGCCGTTGCCGAAGTCCTGTAGCAGTACGGCTCCGATGGCGATGTCGCTTGCGTCTGTAACTACTTCGAATGGGCGGTGTGGGTCGGCGATGCGCAGGACAGACGGTGAACAGAGAATATTTTTCAGGGGAGAGAAGGCAACATGCTCTTTCTCCCCCCACGTAAAAACGACCCCCTTCCGTAGCAAGTCCATCAGCGGCGCAGTTAACCGTGCCATGTCGGGGACGAACCGACGCACGTAATTGACGAACCCCAAAAAGCTCTGCAATTCTGTGATATTCGTCGGGGGGCGCCAGGCCTTTACCGTGTCCAACTTCTTCGGGTCAATATCGACCCCAGCCTCCGAAATAACGTGCCCCAAAAACTCTAGCCTGTCCTGAAAAAACTCGCACTTGGAACCCTTTATCAGTAGCCGATGCTCGTCTAAAATTCTAAACACTGCTTTCAGATCTGCTAAGTGCTGCTGCTTGTCCCGACTGTAGACGAGGATGTCGTCGAGGTAAACGATCACGCATTTATCTAAAAGTGCCCTAAACACCTCGTTTATGGTCATCTGAAATGTCGCTGGTGCGTTGGTCAGCCCGAAGGGCATCACGGTGTACTCGAACGACCCGTACCTAGTCCGAAAGGTTGTTTTGGCGCAGTTCGATGGTTCGACTCGAATCTGATGGTAACCCCCCCGTAGATCTATTTTCGAAAAAACCCGTGCTGTCCATAGTTGGTCTATCAGTTCGTCGGCGCGGGGAATGGGGTACCGCGACTTGACTGTTACCCTATTGAGCGCTTGGTAATCGATGCACATGCGAAATCCTCCGTCTTTTTTCGGCGTGAACAGTATCGGTGCGGCGAATGGTGATGAACTCGGTCGGATGAATTTCTTCTCTAACAGGTAATCTAACTGTTTCCTCAGTTCGTCGAGCTCGGGTTGTGTCAGTCTGAAGTGGCTCTGTACGGTCGGTTGTGCCCCCTGTTCTAATTCTATTCGGTGGTCATGTGCTCGCTGAGGTGGCACTCCCCCCGGTAAATCATCGAGAAAAATCCCCGGGTATCGTTTCAACAGTTCCTGTAGTTTGGGTGGTACCGCTGCCAACAGTTTCTTGAAGTCGCTCGGCTGCTATGCTTCTTGTATCACTGCAATGTCTGCGTACACGTCAGCTCCAGCGGCGACAGCCCGTTTCATGGTGACGGCGTTGACGTGTACCGTTGAAGACTCAGGCGACTGCCAGCAAGGTAGTTCGACCCAGTTACCGCTGCTTTGCACAGTGCAGCTACCCGTCGTCCAGTTATTCGCGGGTTATATCGTCGCAGCCAATCATGTCCCAGTAAAATGTCGTGCCCTTCCAGTGTCGTCGCGAGCATTTCCTGTCTAAACCCGAAATTCCCCCCGCAACGAACTTTGACTCTCTCCACCTTTTCCCGTATGGCCAGTGGTGTGCCGTCAACTAAGCGTGCATCTATCTCTGGTAAACACCGGCTAAGTGTCAGTTGCAGTTTCCGTGCGGTTGCGGTATTAACAAAACTGTGACTTGCTCCTCCGTCGATAAAGATCTTCACTGCTGCTCCTTGTATTTTTCCATGGATCAGTACTGGCCAATCCATTGCTGTACCCTCCTTATTCGTCTTAGTCCGATCGATAGCATGAATTGGTACCGTGACTCGGTGAGGGTCGGTGGGGTTGGGCGAGCAGGCAGTCTCGTCAGTAGTTGGCCCGATTCCTACTGACTGCTGGCGTTTCCCTGCCTTGGAGACTCCATCCCCTGCTCAACTCCGCGGCGCCTCATCTCCTCTGGGCACTCATTCTTGCGATGGCCCGGCCTATTGCAAGCAAAGCAGCGCCTCTTAAACGGCGCGGCAGCTACATTTGTCGCAACGGCATGTACGGTGGCGTGCTCGATCGGTCCCCGAGGGCTGTTCGCAGTTGGTCTATTAGTTCGTCGGCGCGGGGGATGGGGTACCGCGACATGAGTGTTACCCTGTTGAGCGCTCGGTAATTGATGCACATGCGAAATCCTCCGTCTTTTTTTGGCGTGAACAGTATCGGTGTGGCGAACGGTGACGAACTCGACCGTATGAATTTCTTCTCTAACAGGTAATCTAACTTCTTCCTCAGTTCGTCGAGCTCGGGTTGTGTCAGTCTGAACTGGCGCTGTATGGTTGGCTGTGCCCCCGGTTCTAACTCTATTCGGTGGTCGTGTGCTCGCTGAGGTGGCAGTCCTTCCGGTAAGTCGTCGGGAAAAATCCCAGGGTATCGTTTCAACAGTTCCTGTAGTTCGGGCGGTACCGCTGCCATCAGTTTCTTGAAATTACTCGGCTGTTCTGCTCCTTCTACCATTGCAATGTCTACTACGTACACGTCAGCTCCAGCGGCGACAGCCCGTTTCATGGTGACGGCGTTGACGTGTACCGTTGAAGACTCGGGCGACTGCCAGCGAGGTAGTTCGACAGTCACCACTACTTCGCACAGTGCAGCTACCCGTCGTCCAGTCAGTTCGCGGGTTATACCGTCGCAGCCAATCACATCCCAGTAAAATGTCGTGCCCATCCAGTGTCGTCGCGAGCATTTCCTGTGTAAACCCGAAATTCCCCCCGCAGCGGACTTTGAATCTCTCCACCTTTTCCCGTATGGCCAGTGGCGTGCCGTCAACTAAGCGGGCATCTATCTTAGGTAAGCAACGGCTAAGTGTCAGTTGCAGTTTCCGTGCGGTTGCGGTATTAACTAAACTGTGACTTGCTCCTCCGTCGATAAAAATCTTCACTGCTGCTCCCTGTATTTTCCCGTGGATCAGTACGGGGTAATCCGTCCCTGTACCCTCCTTATTCGTCCGAGCCCGATCGATGGCGTGAATCGGTACTGTGACTCGGTGAGGGTCGGTGCGGTTGGGCGAGCACGCAGTCTCGTCAGTAGTTGGCCCAACTTCTACTGACTGCTGGCGTTTCCCTGCCTCTGAGACTCCCTCCCCTGCTCTGCTCCGCGGCGCCTCAGCTCCTCTGGGCATTCGCTCTTGCGATGGCCCGGCCTGTTGCAAGCAAAGCAGCGCCCCTTAAACGGCGCGGCAGCTGCATTCGTCGCAACGGCATGTACGGTGGCGTGCTCGATCGGCCCCAGAGGGCGATGTCCGTAATAGGACCCCGGTCTCGGACGGCGCAAAATGTCGATTTTCTCGGCGAGCGCGAGAATCTCGTTGAAGTTCGAGAGTCCGCGAAGCATGATCTCGTGCGAGATGTCTGGCTTCAGCCCTCCGACATAACGGTCCACCCGCTCCGCTTCGTGCATGTAGCCGACTTGCTCGCATAATGCGAGAAAACCGCTCGTGTAGTCTTGAACCGACCCGAGCTGCCGCCAAGTACGCAGTCTCTGACGCGCCGAAATAGAAGCCGCAATTGGCTCGAAGCGCCCCCGAAGCCCTGCGCACCACGCGTCCCACGTGCTGTACTAGGCGGTTTCGCAGAATGAACTCCAGGTGACGGCTGGACCTGCAGGCCCTTCCTCTTGCGACGGTGGCTCGTAGGCGCGTGGCGACGTCACGATGACTCGCCACCAGTCCATGGCGGGGCCCCTCAGCAGCGAGACGGCGTATCTAATCTTCGCCGCGTCCGACTCGACGTAGTTTGCGTCGAAGAATACGTTCATCGTGAAGACCCACGACTGAACCGTCGGACCTCCACGCTGGCTCGGGTCGAAACAGGGCGGACGCTGCGGTTTGAGCGGCATGGGCGCCATGATGGCGTGGTCGCTACTTGTCGCCGCAAATTCCACGTGCCGACGGGCTTCGCGAGGCTCCCGTGGGCTTGGCGCGACCCTGTTCCTCTCCATGCCAGGCATTGAGTGGGCGGCGCCAACACTGGCTGCACGGGAGCGCTATCCCACGCTGTCGTTTTGTGTCGGTGTGCCTGATGAGATAATGATCGGCTCCTCCGATTGTGCAGGTGCATTTGCAGGTGCGTGTGGTGGCGCCGGAGTATTCACCGTGGATTGCTGACGCGCAGAGTCACGTTCCGCCATGAGTGTCGCAATTTCGAGCGCCGATTCTTCAACTTGGCGTACGAGACGGTCGAGTTGCTCCTGCGTCAATGTCGCGAGAGTGAATTCGTCCATGGCGGGGGTGTCGGGCAAGCTCAGCGAGAGCCTCTGTCGTGGCCGTGCGTGCTTACGAGAGAGCACTACGAGCGGCGGTGCTGTGTCGCTGAGAGACGTCTACCCCCCCCCAAAAATTAAGATAGTGGGGAAACGAAGGTGTGGGTGCGGTCCGAGAAGAGATCGTAGGCTCTGAATACCAAGTGTTACGAGTGCGATGGAGTGATCGAGCGAGGATTGCACTATCGAAGCAACAATACAATGGGCGAAGGCAGGAGCGAAGAATATATAGCGAAACTACAGTGGTAACGGTAATGAACTGTGGGTGACGCGCGACGGGCCTGGAACTGAGGTTGGGAACTGTGGGTGAGGCGGAGGCCCGGAGCGCAGGTTACCCGCCGAGCCGTGAGGTCGGGGTGCGACGTGCGAAGGTGGCGGGAGGATTGTCGATGCGAGGGTTGCTAGTGGTAACGGTGCTGACTGTGGTGCTACAGTGGTGTACGCGCTGAGCAGGGGCGCGAAGTAAGGAAAAGGATTTTTCCTTACACTTGACCATGAAGTGAAATACTTTCTAGTAGTGTTCAGCAAATTACGCTTTAGGCAGGACAGTCACACTACCGTAACATGTGTGTACCATAGTGGTGTCAACGAAATTTGCTTGTCGCAGTTGATTGGCGTGCGACCGTGCAACGAGGTTGCGAAAGCTTGCGTGCCTGCTCAGATCAGACACGTCAACCAACCACATCCTGCCGTGTCGACACGAGCTTGATGGTTCCGACACGACGCTTTCTGGTATAGTGCGATATTACGTACAGATTGGCGGTGTTCGCCAGCACTTGTGAAAACGAAAACGACGGGATCAGGAAGGCAGTCACGACTTCCTGATCCCGTCAGTTAGGGTTCGTTAAGCTCCGTCAGCCTGGTCAGCCCGTAAAATTCGAGCCGAAGCTAGGGTTTCGTCCGAACCTAAAGCAATCTTTGGTGCCTGGCGAATGCCCTCATTTCTCTCAATTTTCGGATGGAAACATGGCATTCGGAAATGGGGATGTGACTTCCTCCCCAGGCAAACGTCCCGTCTCATGCCATTCCGTAGCAATCCACCATTTCATGTGGACTGCCGTGGTTTGGCGATGTAATTGGCTGTCAAAGGGTAAACACTACCACAGCCACCGGAGTCACGAATAGGCCCTAATTTACACCCAATTTTCCACTCTCTCGAATACACCGTGGGCTGCTCTAGTCCAGAACCAGTACAGATGGGGTTTTTTTCTCCCGTTTTTTACCCTGGTACAGTAGGGTTTGGCGCCCGGTCAGGCACAGGTCGTGGCGCCAAATTTTCGTCCTATTTGGGGGGAAGGTGGGGTGTGGGGTTCCATATGCGGTAGTGAAGTTTCCCATGTCGGGGCTGACAAGTTCGCGGATGGCATTTCGCCCAAACCTTTTCGGAGGGTTCCGGCCCCGCTTCCTGATGCCGTTGCCAGTCCGATGCCGTCCATTTTCTTCCAATGTCCAAGGTACTGGCGAACACCGCAAAGGTCCTGAGGTTTGAGAGCTTTAGGACGCGTTACAATTGCGACATCGATTCTGCGGGAATCGATGTTCTGGGTCAACAGTACTTCGCTGAGTTTTGTAAATTTTTTCGTTCAGATTCGCGAAGACCCGACACAGGTCACCGATCGCGATGTTCCTTCCAAATCGATCTGCCACCGCACTCAAACCATACGTATTGCATTCACAACTTTCAAAAAGGCTTCTAACCCCGCTAACTATAGAACCTGAAGACGATCGCGACACATCTGGCTCGGAGGAGATCGATTCTCACACCTTCGGTGTGTGACCGCGATGCTCCCTCAATGTCGTAATTGTGACGCGTCCTCAGAGCCTGGTTTCTGGGCAAACGAATGAGGACAAGGAGGGCGAGGCAAGGTGAATGTTTGAAATTCGAAGAATGTTGGTGGCAAGGCTACTCGCCAATCCCATCTCACATTTGCCGTGTGCTTTTACAGCCTAGTCTGCAGCTGGAGCTGTAATTAGTACCCCCTGAAAAATGCAGAGTACCACGGCGAACTAAAAATGAACCGCTTTAAACCATACCAGATGATGCTACTAGTGTGTCATGTTAACATAGGCCAACTTCAGGTTGGAGTTATGGGGGTGGCAGGGTGAGAGCGAGGCGCTGAGATGTTTGGGAACAAGCAGTGCACAATGGAAAAGCCAAGCTTTAGGGAGACCCTGCGGTGGTCGATGCGAGAGACTTACGGTTTCGTGAACCAGTGGCAATTTATCACTCACAACCTCCAGAAAATGCACGTGCTCTTTCGCACTCCCAAGGGGGAGCCTCTCGTTCTCTAGGCCCCCTCGCGCCGCAAGCCTATGACTCCGCTCGCTCCCCGGCAACTTTACGCTGTTCTTTTCCCCGTCAACAATCCTTTCTCGGCGCTCGATCCGGCAGTTTAGCGTTTCCTCCCTCCCATCCAATTTCTCGTTCCTCTCCCATTCGTCGCCGCATCACCCCAAACATCTGCCCCGATACGTTCCACATAATGCCATTGCCGCGACAACAGTTGAGATCAATGCAACGCGGCTTTCGACCTAGTCGCTGCAGGAGACAATGCTCGCATGGTCACCACGGTAGACGGCAACCGGGCCGTGCTCTGCCGCTTCTCGTGCCTCTGCTGCTGGCGACGCTGCTCGTGCCGCGAGCGGCGGACGCGGCGTGCTCGTCGGTGCGGCAGGTGGTGGTGGTCGGCGCTGGCATGTCGGGCGTGTCGGCTGCTTACCGCATCGTCACTGCCACCGGCGGCGAATGCTTCAAGGTGCGCTGGGGGCGCTGGCCGCTGTGTATGCGGCTGTGTATGCGGCTGTGTATGCGGCTGTGTATGCGGCTGTGTATGCGGCTGTGTATGCGGCTGTGTATGCGGCTGTGTATGCGGCTGTGTATGCGGCTGTGTATGCGGCTGTGTATGCGGCTGTGTATGCGGCTGTGTATGCGGCTGTGTATGCGGCTGTGTATGCGGCTGTGTATGCGGCTGTGTATGTGGCTGTGTATGTGGCTGTGTATGCGGCTGTGTATGCGGCTGTGTATGCGGCTGTGTATGCGCCTGTGTATGCGGCTGTGTATGCGGCTGTGTATGCGGCTGTGTATGTGGCTGTGTATGTGGCTGTGTATGCGGCTGTGTATGCGGCTGTGTATGCGGCTGTGTATGCGGCTGTGTATGTGGCTGTGTATGCGGCTGTGTATGTGGCTGTGTATGCGGCTGTGTATGCGGCTGTGTATGCGGCTGTGTATGCGGGTGAGGGAGCTTCTTACACGTACTTCCATTGCACGCAGTAGACGCCCTCCCTCTCTGTCGTGGCGTCGCGACTGCTCACCGCATCGCCACCACCAACGGCGAATGCTTCAAGGTGCGCTGGGCCGTGCCGGGTGAAATGCTTAGGGCCAGCTGTGCATGATCAACGGTTAGTGCTGTGCGCTGGGATGCAACGGTGCATGCACTGGTGGCAGCAGACGCCCTCCCTCTCTCTCGTGGCATGGCGGGACCTCACAGCATCGCTCACAGCACGGTGGTGGAGGCGCGCGGCAGGTCTTCTCATTTGATCCCCTTCTCCCTTTCCCATTGCCCCCCTTCCCCCCTCCCCCAGCTGACGGTGGTGGAGGCACGTGGGAGGGTGGCCTGGGCTGTTGCCTATGGGCCCTATCGGCCTCTGATCTCTACCTCCCCCAACCCCTCGTCTCCCTCCCCGAGGTGACGGTGGTGGAGGCGCGCAGCCGGGTGAGCTGTTGCATGAAGTGTGGAGCCGACAATCACTCACTTTCTGTTCTCCCCCCTCCCCCTTTTCCCCCCTCTCCTTCAGGTGACGGTGGTGGAGGCGCGCAGCAGGGTGGGCGGGCACATGTGGGGTGGAGCCTTCTTTAATCTCTTCCGCCTGCCTCTTTCCCCCTTTCTCCCAGGTGACGGTGGTGGGGGCGTGCGGCAGGGTGCGCTGATGCCTGTCTCCCATCTCTTTCTATTCTCCTTCCCCATCCCCTCTTATCAGGTGACGGTAGTGGAGGCGCGCGGCAGAGTGGGCGGGTGCATGTATAAGCCTCGTCCCTCTTTCTCTTCTCCCTTTCCCCCTGCTCCCCTCCCACCACCCCTCCCCCGGCCCCCCCCCCCTCCCCTCTCCCCCTAGGTGGCAGTGGTGGAGGCGCGCGGCAGGGTGGGCGGGCGCATGTGGAGCCGCGAGCAGGTTTTTCATCCCTCTTTATTCTTATCGCCCCCCACCTTCTCCCCCACCCCCCTCCCTTCGCTCCCCACCCCCTACCCCCTCTTCCCCGCAGGTGACGGTGGTGGAGGCGCGCGGAAGGGAGGGCGGGGCTGTTGCAATTGGACCCTATCGGCCTCTGATCTCTACTAGCTACCCCCACCCCCTGCCCCACCCCCTGCCCCACCCCCTGCCCCACCCCCTGCCCCACCCCCTACCCCCTCTTCCCCCCAGGTGACGGTGGTGGAGGCGCGCGGAAGGGTGGGCGGGCGCATGTGGAGCCGAACGGAGGCCGCCCCTGCCGGCTCGCCCACGACGTTCCTGCGAGGCGAGATGGGCGCGCAGTGGATCGAGGGCGCCACAGGTAATCGTAACCAGGTTACCATAACAGGCAACGGGCAACCCGGTTACCACCAGGCACAGGTAACGTGGTTACCACTGCCACAGGTAACCCGGTTTCCACTGCATACAACACGTAACCCACCTATCATCGCCAGAGGTAAGCTGGTAACCGCCCTTCTTAACCCTCGTTCCATCAGCCCTTTCTCCAACAGAACTCCTTTTTCCTTCCCTTTCACTCTCACCCTTTCCCCTTTCTCTCCACTACTGCTTCTCCTTCCCTTTCCCTGTGCTTCTCCCCCTGCCCCTGCCCTTCTGCTCCCCCTGCTCCAGGTAACCCCATTGCCACCCTAGCTCGAAAATTCAAGCTCAGAATTGGGCGGCAGAACGGGCGGGAAATACAATTCACAGCCAAGGGGAAGAGATACAGGGATCCCGGGTGGTCGGCAGCGGAGGCGGAGTATCAGACGCTGGTACGGCAAGGCTTGTCCTGGGCGAACAGACAGGACAAGGATGTGAGCCTGCAGCAGGCGTTCACCAGCGGGCCGTGGAAGTGACGAGTGTTCCTCAAGCCCTATGTACAGGTAGTGTGGTTGTGGGAGGGTAGAGGGGGCAGCGGAGAGATTGGGGCGAGCAAGGTATGGGTGAGTGTTCCTCAAGCCCTATGTGCAGGTAGTGGGGGGGTTGGGGGTGGGAGGCGGAGCAGGGGAGAAAGAAAGGGCAGGGGGAGGGAGAGAGTGCGTGCAGGTAGCGAAGGGAGTGGGAATGGGGAACAGGATGAATACAACGGGGCATGACGTGCAAGAATGCTGCAGCCCCCAAATGTCTAATGTTCACTGAACTTACCTGTCATGGATTTGTTGCCATGCACTGGCAGTCGGCACCTGTCGGAGGCCTATTGAGCTCAGCGTCGGCGATCCCCTTTCCCCTCTCACAATCTATCATGTGATCATCTTGCATTGCATCTTCATGCTCCCCTTCCGGTAAAAAAACTAAAAGTCGCGCCTCTCAGTCGCGCCTCTCAGTCGCGCCTCTCAGTCGCGCCTCTCAGTCGCGCCTCTCAGTCGCGCCTCTCAGTCGCGCCTCTCAGTCGCGCCTCTCAGTCGCGCCTCTCAGTCGCGCCTCTCAGTCGCGCCTCTCAGTCGCGCCTCTCAGTCGCGCCTCTCAGTCGCGCCTCTCAGTCGCGCCTCTCAGTCGCGCCTCTCAGTCGCGCCTCTCAGTCGCGCCTCTCAGTCGCGCCTCTCAGTCGCGCCTCTCAGTCGCGCCTCTCAGTCGCGCCTCTCAGTCGCGCCTCTCAGTCGCGCCTCTCAGTCGCGCCTCTCAGTCGCGCCTCTCAGTCGCGCCTCTCAGTCGCGCCTCTCAGTCGCGCCTCTCAGTCGCGCCTCTCAGTCGCGCCTCTCAGTCGCGCCTCTCAGTCGCGCCTCTCAGTCGCGCCTCTCAGTCGCGCCTCTCAGTCGCGCCTCTCAGTCGCGCCTCTCAGTCGCGCCTCTCAGTCGCGCCTCTCAGTCGCGCCTCTCAGTCGCGCCTCTCAGTCGCGCCTCTCAGTCGCGCCTCTCAGTCGCGCCTCTCAGTCGCGCCTCTCAGTCGCGCCTCTCAGTCGCGCCTCTCAGTCGCGCCTCTCAGTCGCGCCTCTCAGTCGCGCCTCTCAGTCGCGCCTCTCAGTCGCGCCTCTCAGTCGCGCCTCTCAGTCGCGCCTCTCAGTCGCGCCTCTCAGTCGCGCCTCTCAGTCGCGCCTCTCAGTCGCGCCTCTCAGTCGCGCCTCTCAGTCGCGCCTCTCAGTCGCGCCTCTCAGTCGCGCCTCTCAGTCGCGCCTCTCAGTCGCGCCTCTCAGTCGCGCCTCTCAGTCGCGCCTCTCAGTCGCGCCTCTCAGTCGCGCCTCTCAGTCGCGCCTCTCAGTCGCGCCTCTCAGTCGCGCCTCTCAGTCGCGCCTCTCAGTCGCGCCTCTCAGTCGCGCCTCTCAGTCGCGCCTCTCAGTCGCGCCTCTCAGTCGCGCCTCTCAGTCGCGCCTCTCAGTCGCGCCTCTCAGTCGCGCCTCTCAGTCGCGCCTCTCAGTCGCGCCTCTCAGTCGCGCCTCTCAGTCGCGCCTCTCAGTCGCGCCTCTCAGTCGCGCCTCTCAGTCGCGCCTCTCAGTCGCGCCTCTCAGTCGCGCCTCTCAGTCGCGCCTCTCAGTCGCGCCTCTCAGTCGCGCCTCTCAGTCGCGCCTCTCAGTCGCGCCTCTCAGTCGCGCCTCTCAGTCGCGCCTCTCAGTCGCGCCTCTCAGTCGCGCCTCTCAGTCGCGCCTCTCAGTCGCGCCTCTCAGTCGCGCCTCTCAGTCGCGCCTCTCAGTCGCGCCTCTCAGTCGCGCCTCTCAGTCGCGCCTCTCAGTCGCGCCTCTCAGTCGCGCCTCTCAGTCGCGCCTCTCAGTCGCGCCTCTCAGTCGCGCCTCTCAGTCGCGCCTCTCAGTCGCGCCTCTCAGTCGCGCCTCTCATTCAGTCGCGCCTCTCAGTCGCGGCCTCTCCAGTCGCGCCTCTCAGTCGCGCCTCTCAGTCGCGCCTCTCAGTCGCGCCTCTCAGTCGAGCCTCTCAGTCGCGCCTCTCAGTCGCGCCTCTCAGTCGCGGCCTCTCAGTCGCGCCTCTCAGTCGCGCCTCTCAGTCGCGCCACGTACTCAGTCGCTTGAGCCTCTCAGTCGCGCCTCTCAGTCGCGCCTCTCAGATCGCGCCTCTCAGTCGCGCCTCTCAGTCGGCGCCTCTCAATCAGCGCCTCTCAGTCGCGCCTCTCAGTCGCGCCTCTCAGTCGCGCCTCTCAGTCGCGCCTCTCAGTCGCGCCTCTCAGTCGCGCCTCTCAGTCGCGCCTCTCAGTCGCGCCTCTCAGTCCGCGCCTCTCAGTCGCGCCTCTCAGTCGCGCCTCTCAGTCGCGCCTCTCAGTCGCGCCTCTCCAGTCGCGCCTCTCAGTCGGCGCCTCTCAGTCGCGCCTCTCAGTCGCGCCTCTCAGTCGCGCCTCTCAGTCGCGCCTCTCAGTCCGCGCCTCTCAGTCGCGCCTCTCAGTCGCGCCTCTCAGTCGCGCCTCTCAGTCGCGCCTCTCAGTCGCGCCTCTCAGTCGCGCCTCTCAGTCGCGCCTCTCAGTCGCGCCTCTCAGTCGCGCCTCTCAGTCGCGCCTCTCAGTCGCGCCTCTCAGTCGCGCCTCTCAGTCGCGCCTCTCAGTCGCGCCTCTCAGTCGCGCCTCTCAGTCGCGCCTCTCAGTCGCGCCTCTCAGTCGGCGCCTCTCAGTCGCGCCTCTCAGTCGCGCCTCTCAGTCGCGCCTCTCAGTCGCGCCTCTCAGTCGCGCCTCTCAGTCGCGCCTCTCAGTCGCGCCTCTCAGTCGCGCCTCTCAGTCGCGCCTCTCAGTCGCGCCTCTCAGTCGCGCCTCTCAGTCGCGCCTCTCAGTCGCGCCTCTCAGTCGCGCCTCTCAGTCGCGCCTCTCAGTCGCGCCTCTCAGTCGCGCCTCTCAGTCGCGCCTCTCAGTCGCGCCTCTCAGTCGCGCCTCTCAGTCGCGCCTCTCAGTCGCGCCTCTCAGTCGCGCCTCTCAGTCGCGCCTCTCAGTCGCGCCTCTCAGTCGCGCCTCTCAGTCGCGCCTCTCAGTCGCGCCTCTCAGTCGCGCCTCTCAGTCGCGCCTCTCAGTCGCGCCCTCTCAGTCGCGCCTCTCAGTCGCGCCTCTCAGTCGCGCCTCTCAGTCGCGCCTCTCAGTCGCGCCTCTCAGTCGCGCCTCTCAGTCGCGCCTCTCAGTCGCGCCTCTCAGTCGCGCCTCTCAGTCGCGCCTCTCAGTCGCGCCTCTCAGTCGCGCCTCTCAGTCGCGCCTCTCAGTCGCGCCTCTCAGTCGCGCCTCTCAGTCGCGCCTCTCAGTCGCGCCTCTCAGTCGCGCCTCTCAGTCGCGCCTCTCAGTCGCGCCTCTCAGTCGCGCCTCTCAGTCGCGCCTCTCAGTCGCGCCTCTCAGTCGCGCCTCTCAGTCGCGCCTCTCAGTCGCGCCTCTCAGGTCGCGCCTCTCAGTCGCGCCTCTCAGTCGCGCCTCTCAGTTCGCGCCTCTCAGTCGCGCCTCTCAGTCGCGCCTCTCAGTCGCGCCTCTCAGTCGCGCCTCTCAGTCGCGCCTCTCAGTCGCGCCTCTCAGTCGCGCCTCTCAGTCGCGCCTCTCAGTCGCGCCTCTCAGTCGCGCCTCTCAGTCGCGCCTCTCAGTCGCGCCTCTCAGTCGCGCCTCTCAGTCGCGCCTCTCAGTCGCGCCTCTCAGTCGCGCCTCTCAGTCGCGCCTCTCAGTCGCGCCTCTCAGTCGCGCCTCTCAGTCGCGCCTCTCAGTCGCGCCTCTCAGTCGCGCCTCTCAGTCGCGCCTCTCAGTCGCGCCTCTCAGTCGCGCCTCTCAGTCGCGCCTCTCAGTCGCAGCCTCTCAGTCGCGCCTCTCAGTCGCGCCTCTCAGTCGCGCCTCTCAGTCGCGCCTCTCAGTCGCGCCTCTCAGTCGCGCCTCTCAGTCGCGCCTCTCAGTCGCGCCTCTCAGTCGCGCCTCTCAGTCGCGCCTCTCAGTCGCGCCTCTCAGTCGCGCCTCTCAGTCGCGCCTCTCTAGGTCGCGCCTCTCAGTCGCGCCTCTCAGTCGCGCCTCTCAGTCGCGCCGCTCAGTCGCGCACTCTCAGTCGCGCCTCTCAGTCGCGCCTCTCAGTCGCGCCTCTCAGTCGCGCCTCTCAGTCGCGCCTCTCATTCGCGCCTCTCATTCGAGCCTCTCAGTCGCGCCTCTCAGTCGCGCCTCTCAGTCGCGCCTCTCAGTCGCGCCTCTCAGTCGCGCCTCTCAGTCGCGCCTCTCAGTCGCGCCCTCTCTCAGTCGCGCCTCTCAGTCGCGCCTCTCAGTCGCGCCTCTCAGTCGCGCCTCTCAGTCCGCGCCTCTCTCAGTCGCGCCTCTCAGTCGCGCCTCTCAGTCGCGCCTCTCAGTCGCGGCCTCTCAGTCGCGCCTCTCAGTCGCCCCGCGAGGCCTCGCAGTCGCGCCTCTCAGTCGCGCCTCTCAGTCGCGCCTCTCAGTCGCCTCTCAGTCGCTGCCTCTCAGTCGCGCCTCTCAGTCGCGCCTCTCAGTCGCGCCTCTCAGTCGCGCCTCTCAGTCGCGCCTCTCAGTCGCGCCTCTCAGTCGCGCCTCTCAGTCGCGCCTCTCAGTCGCGCCTCTCAGTCGCGCCTCTCAGTCGCGCCTCTCAGTCGCGCCTCTCAGTCGCGCCTCTCAGTCGCGCCTCTCAGTCGCGCCTCTCAGTCGCGCCTCTCAGTCGCGCCTCTCAGTCGCGCCTCTCAGTCGCGCCTCTCAGTCGCGCCTCTCAGTCGCGCCTCTCAGTCGCGCCTCTCAGTCGCGCCTCTCAGTCGCGCCTCTCAGTCGCGCCTCTCAGTCGCGCCTCTCAGTCGCGCCTCTCAGTCGCGCCTCTCAGTCGCGCCTCTCAGTCGCGCCTCTCAGTCGCGCCTCTCAGTCGCGCCTCTCAGTCGCGCCTCTCAGTCGCGCCTCTCAGTCGCGCCTCTCAGTCGCGCCTCTCAGTCGCGCCTCTCAGTCGCGCCTCTCAGTCGCGCCTCTCAGTCGCGCCTCTCAGTCG